AACCACCCAGACTCAAAGAGGGGAAAACCGAAAAAAATAAAAATGTTGTGACAGCTCCCTCCAGACTTTGCCGGTCCCCAGATTTGTCCCCAAACACCAGATCCTGCCTTATTCCTGCCGCCTGCCCTCCCACTAACCCCCTTCTTCCCAGCCCCATCCCACACCAGGGCCCGAAGACGAGAGGAAAGACCTACGCGCAGATCGTTTGCAGGTTTCTCTTGTCGTCCAGGTCCTGCGGGTAGTTGGCCATATTATCGCCCAGCCGCAGCAAACAGTCCGAGAAGCCCCGAAAGACCGCATCGCACCGCCCCGCCGCTCTCACCGCCTGCACCAGGTGGGCTGCGGGGCAGGGGCACAGGTCAGAGCCGCGACCATGGATTTATTTTTTTTTTCCCCAATTTCTGTTTTTTTTTTTTGGGGGGGGGGGGGAAGGGGGGGAGGGGGGATGGGAGTTGGGGAAAGGGGAAGTGAAGAGAGGAGGGGATGCGGGGCCACGCTCGCTCCTTTGTTGGCAGCGCAGTTCTGGACGGGCGAGGGGCCGAGATGCTGGGGGTGGTGTGGTGCGAGGGGCCGGGGTGGGGGGGAGGGAGAGGTTGCAAGAAGTGGAATGAAATAGCAAAAATGAACTGAAGTGATACATAATAAAACCAAACGATACGTAATGCAACAAGATGCAATTAAAAATAATAATAATAAAACAACCCAAACCGAAACAATGAAATAGCACCAAGTGTGAGCCGCGACGCATGAGAAGAGCCGTCCCCAATGGTCGCTAGCACAAATGGAAGCAAAGAAGCACCAACACAGCAGCAACAACCGCCGGCGAAGAGATGGGTAATGGGATGCTGGGTCCCCATAAAGGAGCGAGTGTGCCCGCACGGAGAGACGAGGGGGTGGGCAGCTGGGGAGGCACCGCGCCTCGGTGGGGGCCGCGTGTCCCTGCTTGCGGTATTATGGAGGCACGGCAGTGTCCCAGACCCCGAGCAGGTAAAAAAAAAAAGCCGAGAGGACAGCGCGATGCCCGTCAACTCGCTCCCATCCCACCGCCGTGCCTCAGGGAGAGAGGAGGAGAATGGCACCCGAGGGGCTGCGCTGGGGATGAGGGCTCGGAGACCTCCGGTGTCGGGGGGCCAGGCGAGGGATGAGCAGGCTGAGAGCCTGCCTCCGGCCCAGGGACGGCCTGTACATAGCATACAGCTCCCCAGAGCCGCCCCCAAATCCACCACCGCAATAATTACGATAACAATAATATATATATATATATTAAAAGCAAATGCTTGAACAACGGATGCGTTCTCTCGACGATCCTTACGGGTCCCTCCCAAAGCGGGATATTCAATGATTCTCCCGTAAGAGGTCGCCCCGCAGTGCCCCCCGCCGTTCCCCGTCGACCTCCCCCCGTAGCGCAGCGGTCGTTGCCTCCTCCCGGGGCTTCTCCGACCCGGGCACCCTCTGCCGGGCTCCCTTTCCATGCCCTCCCTCCGTTCACCTTCCCCAGCTCCGGGATTTCAGGCCGCTGCGCAAACCCACAAAGACAGAAAGGATTTTATTTCGCGAATGAAATCCCCTCTCGGTTCAATCAAATGAGGGCAAATGAGATAAAATCCACCTCCAAACGAAAAACGCGAGGGAAACGAAAGATAGCGTCCAAATACCGCCTTCCCCTTTGCTTACTCTGCACTACAGAAAATGGCCTTCGCGAGAGCTCAGCACCGTCACAATGGTGCGAGCAGAGGGCTTTGCAGCTCATCTTCCAGAGGTCAACATTTCAGCGCAGTGTTTTGTTTTGTTTTGATTCGATTTTTCCTTCTATCGATGAGGAAATGCTCAACGCAATTTCTCGTTCTCTCCCTCTCTTTTCTCTCCTGCTTTATTTTATATATTTATATATTTAGTATTATTATTACTATTATTTCTGCCGGTACCCACAGAATGCCCCAGACGCTGTGTAACCGAAATAGCACCTCGGAGCACTTCCCATTGGAGCAGAATTCCTTTGCAGGAAAATGTTTCCAAGGGTCCTTAGCAGCGCCCGGCCGGGCGGTAAGGGACGGTGACACCGCATCCGTCCTCCCACTGCAGCCCTGCTTTGCACCGCTCTCGGGATATACATATTCAACACATTCGCCATGTATATCCCTTAAAATTTGCCCGTGCAAGACCAGCCCCTAGTTGCTGCCACTCGACAAGCACTTCCAGCAAAGAAATGCTGAATTAAGCGAACCCGACAGCGAACCAACACAAAAGCGGCAGCGACAGAAAGCGAAATACTAAAGAACGAGCTCAGAAAACCACACACAGGAGCGGAGGGAAACCGGTCCTATTTTAAGTCGCTCGACATATGTAGAATTTCTCTTTTTTTCTCCTGTTTTTAGACCCACTCGTATTTTAGAGCGGCTCTCCGAACACAACACTCAGCGTTGGGGCGGCGGGATCCCGCGATTTTGTTCAAGCCCCGCATTCAAGTCGGTTTTGTTTTGTTTTGTTTTGTTTTGTTTTTTGTTTGATCTTTTGATTTGATCTTATTAGATTTGATCTTATTTGATCTTATTTGATCTTATTTTATTTTCACTTCACTCTTCCGTTTCACTTCGCTATTCCATTCCACTCATCCTATCGAGGCAGCCGCTGGCTTCTCTTTGCTCCGAGGCTGCCCCGTGAACGGGGACGCCTGCGAGTCCCTCAGCGGGAGCCCTGCGGCTGTCCGCCTCCTTTTCTAACCAAAATGACACACAAAAAACCACCCCCTAAAAACCCACAATCAAAAAATAATATCACCAAACTTTCATCCTGATTTCCCGCAAGCCGTTTGGTGCCCCTTTCTATTTCCCCGTCCCCCTGGAGAGGGGGGAATTTCTCAGCACTTGGAGTCCCCAAATTGTCGACTGCGGAGTGTGTGTGTGGGGAGAGAAACTGGGGGGGGATCCAAAAAGAGAACGCGGTCGTTCGTGGGGACAGGAGGAGAAAGGGAAAAAAAAAATAATAAAGCAAACGTGGAACGAACATGCAGAGATTTAGGAAAACGACCGAGCAAAGTAATTCCTTCCTGTGGACCCATGGAGCATAGGATTGAGGAATCGCAAAAACGCCGTCCGAAGGGATGGGAATGAGATGAGGATAGGGAACAGGAACGGGAACGGGATGGAATGGGATAGGATAGGAATGGGGATGGAATGGAAATGGGATGAGAAGGGATGGGAACGGGATGGAGACGGGAACGGGGATGGAAAATGGGAATGGGAAATGGGAATGGGATGGAATGGGATGGGATGGGGATGGGATGGGGATGGGATGGAGATGGGATGGGATGGGGCAGGGTCCGCTCTGCAGCTCCACGCAGGGCAGCCCCCGCCGCACAGATCGCCCGGGGCTCGGGGCACAGCGGGAATTTGGCGGTCCACTTACCTATCTGTACAGCGAGGATCAGAGAAATGTATCTGCCGTTCAACTTAAGTCCCATCCTACATTTAGTAAAACCATTTGCGACTGCAGATCTTTAAATAGTTACTTTGGAGAACGTGGGGGAAAGCTGAAAAATAGGCATTGCCAACAAGTTCCGAGCAGCGGAGGACTTTGCACACAAGGGGGGAGACGGAGGTGAGGGAGAGAAAGAGGGAGAAACAGGGAGCGGGCGAGGAGGAATAGCTGGGAATGGTTCGCTCCATTAGGAGGGGGCGGAGGAAGTACAGCCTCACGCCCACGGCCGGCCCTGACGTGGGGGGATGACACTGAAGGATTTTTTTTTTATTTTATTTTTTTCCCTCCTCCTTTTTAATATATATATGTTGGGGTTTTTTTTTTTGTTTTTTTTTTTTTTCTTCGTGTGCCCCTCGCAAGAGAAACGCCATTTATAGGCATCGCGGGCTGCGCGCACCCGGCTCCCCGCGTCCCTCCGCCCGTTCATCGCCGAGGAAGCTCCGCGTCGCCAGGACCCCCCCCCCCCCCCCCCCCGCTCCGTGCTTCCCTCGGCCCCCCGGGGGTCCCGTGGGGCGGCGACGAAGGAGGGGGGAGCAGGCGGGGACCGTCCCCACGGGGCGGGAGGGACGGGGGGGGGAGGGGGGGGAGAGGAGGGGGGGGACACGCACAGAGGGACGCGCAGACACAGGGACGCGCAGGCGGAGGAGCCGCCCCCCGGGGTGGGGATAGCACGGTAGAACACCCCCACCCACACACAGGCAACCGCCCCCGGGCCGCCCCGTCGGGGCTGGACGGTCCGGCCCCCGCGCTGCGGAAAGAGGGGGAAAGGAGGAGGAAAAGGAGGGGTGCGGGGTCCCCTCCCGCCGCCCTCTCCTCCCTTCCCCCACCATGACGTCATCCCCAAGGCTGGGGGGAACGGAGGGGAGGGGGCTGGTGGTGGCCGGTCTCTCCCGGCTCTGCTGCTCCAGCCCCGCTGTGGGTCCGTAGAGGATGAGGTGGAAAACCCGCAGCGGCCACCCGCTCTCTTTTCTGGGGGGAGCTCCTGCCCCGCTCCGCGATGGCGCTGGCACTGGGGGACTGAAGTCGGAGGCTCCACCTCTAGACCTCGAGGTGCCCCTCACCACCCGTCGGGGGCAGAAAGGGGTCGGACCTGGGGTGGCCTTGGGGGTGAGGTAAGCAGGGTGAGATAACCAACCCGAACCCATTCTGCACCCATAACTCTTGTGTCACTAAGCTACCGCTCTCCAGTTCTGCCCCGACCTTCCCCAGCCTCCTGCACAACTTCAGGAGCTGAAGCAGCCTCTTGGAGGGAACATCTCCCTGTCCCTGCTCCCGTGAGAGGTGGGCAGTCTGGCTGAGAGCTGCCCTTGATCCTAGCTCTTTGCTTTGTGGTAGTGGGTGCTTGTATAATGCGGCAGAGGCTGAAGTGGGTATCAAGAGATGGAGCCTTTTCCCTGGAGAGATTGGTCTGATAACCTCAAAGATCTTTTATTTCTCTCAGTGCTTTATCAGCATCAAAGAGCAGGGTGAGAATGCTGTGCAGGTTGAGGGGCACCAAACAGGTGCTGAACCTCCCAGCTTCTGGTTGCTTGGCCTTTTGTGGCTGTGTTTGCTGTTGGAAGGACAAGGACAATACAAGGAGTGGGGACTATAGCAGGAGGAAATTCTTGCTTCACTCCTTTGCCCTGCTGATAACGGTGTTGTTCATTTCCATATTCATATCTGCTATGTCTTTTTCTGCTCCTTTTTCTGAGGACAGAAATGCTGTATTTTCAAGTTGCAGGTTGAACTGACTCCAAGGAGCTTGCATAGAACACAGCTTGGACATTACACGACCTACGTAGTGAACTTCTTAGGGCAGTTTACAATCACAGAATTATAGAATCATAAGGTTGGAAAATAACCTCTATGATCCAACCACTAAGTTCAACCACCAACTCATCACCACCATGCCCACTAGCTGTGTCTCTCACAGTTCTTGAACACCTTCAGTGACACTAAATCCACCAGCTCCCTGGATAACAAGTTGTTCCAGTGTCTCACTACTTCTTTCTGAGAAGATGTGTTTCCTAATAGGCAACCTGAACCTTCCCTAGCACAACTTAAGGCCATTATCTCTCATATTATTGCCAGTTACCTGGGAGAAGAGGCTGACCCCCACCCCACCACAACCTCCTTTCAGGGAGTTGTGGAGAGTGATAAAGACTATCTTCCCTGAGCCACCTCCAGACTAATCAATTCCAATTCCCTCAGCCATTCCCCATAAAATTTGTGCCCTAGTCCCTTCACCAGCCTCATTGCCCTTCTCTGGACACAGTGCTCAACCAGGAAGAGATTAATGTGGCTCATGTGACCTTTGCTGTATCCATCACTGCCAGCAGGACTGGAGCCCCTGGCAATCTAGACAAGGTGCCTATCTGTGTGGGCTTGCTCTGGTTTCCTCACGCCAGCTCCACTCTGCTAGAACCACCTGCCTCATGGGAACCCTGTGTGCCATGGATGTGCTTCTCATGTGGTTTGCCATGGCTGAGCCTACATAGAGGCAGCTGGCTCGATGTCGCAGAGGATGAGCAAAGAGATCTGCTTTCCCATGTGAAGCCAGCTGCATTGCTGCGTTTCCCTTCCCTTCATCCCCTTTTCTATGCAAAACGTCCCTTCAAACAGAGCTCGCGCCGTGGGTTCTTTAGTGTGTGGTTGCAGGCTAGTAATGGAGATAAAAGCTGAATCTCTGATGCCGTCAGTCTGCACACTGCTTTATGCTGAGCACCAACTCAGGCTGGGGGAGGGCTCAGTGCTCACAGTGGTTTGAAAGTCCCTCCTCTGGGTGTGCCATATCCTGCAGCAGCATCGCCTCTGCTGGGAGGTGATGCTTTCCTTTACTCTCCCCCCAGATCAACCAGTGAGAGCTGGTCTCGGTGGAGGAGATGATCTCTGTGTAATTTCTCAGCTTTCAGATGGACAGAAGGACAGTGCTGCGGTCCTTACCATTCCTCATCTGATGAGTTTCCTAGAGAAAAGTGTCCAGCCAGAAAATGCAATCAAATCCCAAACCTAGCTGATAGATGGATAGCTGTACACAGCGTGATCCTCCAAGACTTTCTGTAAGAAGGAAAATAATGAGAACACACTGAAAATGTGACAGGTGGGATTAAAGGAATACCTTCTGGCAATGGCCAGCCTTCTGGAGCTCTTCTGGGAGGATCTTTTTGTTAGGGACCTGGTTTGTTACTGTCTGGATTGGTCTGGCATTTACTAAACGGGATGGACACATTATGCAACTGAGACCAGAGTCTGCCCCACATCTGCTTAGAAATTAGCACTAAAATAGTGTTCACAGTTCACCACAGAAGTGTGGCTTGATGTCTGCAACAATATATTTCTGAAAGTATAAACTGTGGCTGTGGTCCAAAATACAAAACTGGGGAATAAAAAAAGCATAGAGTTGAGTGGGTGTGAAAGGAGTGCAATTGCTGGGTACCAAATCTTTAAAAATGCTACTAAAGGTATTTGTAAACTATCTGCAACAGAAAGGGGTGATTTGACGTAAGCTTAAAAAGTGTTTGGAACAAGGCTCTCTTCCATCTCTGCTCTTGGGATATTCAGAGAGGAGAACAAGGCTGCAGCCTCTGCTGGGCCTTCAGAAGAGCTCTGCCTCCGTGTTTACTTTGCAGTACATTTCCCTTCTGAAAAACAGTGTTAAAAAACACGAGATGTCACTTGACCATGATCAGTTTGTGGTCAGCCAATCTGGTAAGGAAAGCACTATCTGCTCCAGAAATAGCAGTGACTGCATGTAAGCGTGCTCGTCAGAGAGATGTTTTTAGGAGGGCACCCTAAATTCTGCATCTTGCAGGCACGACCCCTGTGTGCTGGGCTGTGGCACGGCACTGCTGTGAGCCTGGCAGGCTGTGGAGGGCTGCGTGAGCCTGCATTCTCCATCCAGATGGAGTGCACACCCACTACAATTATGTTGGGGACACGTGATTTGCTTGAGGTGCCTGTGGATGTTTCAAAGAGTAGGATGGCTCTGGTAAAGCAGTCTTAAAAGGAAGAAGCATCAATCCGTCGCATCTTTGCAGCTAACGTTTTCCTTCAAGAAGCAAAAATCTTCCTGACAAGGCCAGACAGTGTACTTCTTATCATAGGCTGGAGGGAAGTAGGCCTGGAAAATGGCTGCAAACAGGGTGATATCCTTAGATTTCCTGGCATCCAAGCTTGGGGCTGCGGTGAAATCCAGACTGCAAAAGGAACTGGCAGGTTTATGTGAGCTGTATTTATCATGCCAGAGCTGCTGATTGCTCTCTGACATCTGGATACAAGACACCAGGGAATAACCTTGATGCACTCCCATGGCATTAAGATAATTTCTGTTTGGTTGGATATGTTGGTATCCCAGCTCTGGGTCTTGGTTCATAGCCAAGCTCTGAGCCTGGAATGGCAACGCCTGTACCAGAACCCACATGCTGCTTACCCAGGGCTTTTATCCTTAGTGTGCACCAGTAGCTAGCCCCAAAGGATGCTAGCATATGGAGGTCAGCACTGCAGTTTCCATAGGCTGCAGTAAGATGGGATGTTCCTCAGTGGGGTGATATTCTGATCCACATGTTTCTTGCATTGATTTATGGAGTATCTACTGCCACAGGAGCTATTAACCTTCAGTTACAGGAGGACTTCGATAAATGAAAGATCACTCTGTGTTTTCTTCATAACAGTCAATATGATTCGTTCTAGAAAAATATGAAAAACAACCATAAATACATATTTAGAGAACAAGTCAGATCAGATTTCCAGCTGATGTGGGAAGATACTTCTACATTTCCAGTGTCTCCTCTTCAGTCTCTTATCATCAAAACTGAAGTTTCTGGGAAACCAGGGGGGACTGATGAGGTAGGGGGAAAATGGTGTATTAATTAATTATGGGCTGATGAAAACATTGGCAGGACAGATGTCTGCTAGTCACACACATGGCAAGAACTCCAAGTGAGATCTCACTTTCCTAGGAACGATGAAATCTGGGAGGAAGGAAGTATACAAAGGTGAAAAGGACTCTGAGACAAGGAGAAGCAGGATAAGTCTGTAGTTGCATCCAATCCGATCTGCAGAGATGCAGCTCATATGAAACTTACTCATTGCCCTCCTTCTCCACTCTTATCTTTGGGAACATACTTATGACACTGGAAACTAAGGAAGGTTGGAGCTGTTGCATGAATCTCAGTGGGAAGTTTCTTCTAGGAACTAAATTCTGGGCTGAGTACAAGACTACTGAAAATTGTCCTTCTTCAGAGCCTGCTTT